GCGTGAGTTTCCTCTTATTAGTTTTGGCAAGATGAAGAAACGCGTACATTGACACAATTCGAAATTAACGTTTCATGAGGATAAAACGTACCAATATATTTATAACTTTATCTGTTGCAAATGTGAGCTGTAATATGTAAATATGGCTATAAATGAAGCTTTGACTCTCAGTAATTGATAATTCTGCATCTTCTTAGTAAAATATTTACGAGACATTACTTAACCGGAGCATAAGCATGGATACACTGGACGACATCAGCGAGGAAGGAATTTGGGTTTGGTCGGATGGAGTAAATGAATCACCAAGTGCAATATGGGAATCGTCACAACCAAACGGGAGCAGAAGCGAAAACTGTGCAGTAATCGTATTGCCTGGTGCTCGTGACATTGTGTGCTCTGTAGTCCAAAGATTTGTTTGCGAAAGGGAATTTGCATGACGTTTTTCGTATCAAGGAATGATATTTTTAAATTTAATTCTAAATTAATTTCTGATATTACAATTTTATTTCATGTCTGTTTATGAGTAAAGAAAAATAAACCCTATAGAATTGTCTGACTTATAGTTGAAAACATTCTACCGAATATAATATTTATTTTTGTCTTTATAAATGCTTTTTAAATTTATTGTTTCTGATTTGAGACCACAAAATTATACTTTTGCCGTCAACAGTATTGAAACGTACAGTGAAAATTAAAATTGAAGGCATAAGGAATCTTTTCAAATTTGAATTTACCAATAGCATTGGTTGAAATTGAGTTAATTCAATCCAAAAACTCTAGAAATTATTTTTCGGAATTAGGTTAGGTATTTTAACATTTTAACAATGTGAAACTCCTTACTTCAAATGAATTTTACACAAACAGTTACATATGGAATTTGGCTATACGTTGTGCTACGAACTGGTTTATTGTGCAATCTACATTTTATTTTATGATGCTTTTTATGTGATGAACGCTATGATGACATTTATTTAAAAATCCAATGAAAATCAAATTGTGTCCACCTACAGGGAATACTTGTCATAACGTTTATTAAGTATTGAACTTTTGAAAATTTATAATTATGCACCAAAGTCGATCCAAATTCTATGTGACAGGGGTGAAATGATGTATATTGATCTATGTATAATTTTGTATTGTTATTTTCTGCAAATTTACTGCAAATGTACTGACGATTCATAAAATAGTTTAATCAATAATAATAATTTGATCAATAATCAAGTTTTAATTAGTGTGATAAGTCTTTTTCGAACACTTTAGCTTTGGATTATTCAGACTTAGAATAAATTTTGCAGTCATATTTACATTTGTGAAATTCTTTCATAATTAAAATTAAAATTTTTCTGTCAAGACTAGTGCAATTGTGTAGCATGGAGGAATCATGTGCATGTAATATAAAAATTTGATACTGCTTCACCACAAAATGTAATTGTGCCAAGACGGGCCAGGATTTCCACAAGTGCGACCTTCCATGCTTAAAGATTAATGTGAACTGTTACTTATACTCGGAATTCTTAACTTCATGAATAACATTTGATAGGACATACGTCATAATACATATATCATTCATTATACACACAGATCCCCCGACACACAATCTTAAGAGAAAGATAAGCAAAAACGAATTAATAGCGAAAGTAATATTTCATAAATTGCTATTTAATAACCTGATAAATTTGCTACGAACAAAAAGATTTTCTAGTAAATTTTTATTTTCATTCAGTGAAATATTGCCGGTACATTCCCTAGCCGGAACTAGTGCAAGGATAGGATTGGATGATATTAGCAATAAAGTAATTTGACTTTGGCCGGATGGAGTAAATAAATCGCCAAGCTCTCGTTGAGATTCGACAGAACCGAACGGCGCAGAAGCGAAAACTGCTCAGAAATCCGAATATGTAATTAATTTACATAAATTTATTCCAGAGTCTCATTAAAAGCCGGCCGAAAAACGATTTTAATCAAATTTATTTATTAACTGTTAAACTTTCAACTTCATGAAGTAAAATAAACAAAACTCCCGAAGAATGAAAATCTAAAGCTACAAATCGAAGTTCATAAATCTCATGAAATAAGCGAGTCAAAGTTATACGGGACTTTCATTAACCTAGTGAAACAGGAAGGTCTGTGTGCATTAATACGTTCGTAACAGCATCGTAATATATTATGATAAAACATTATTAATTGAACTTCGCAGTTTTTTCACACCGCGTTGGTCTAACTCAAAATATATTTAGTTCAATTTGAATTATTACTTTCCACTCAGAGATGTTTCCAATTTTGCAGGACTGGAGTCAGTTTAGTCTCATATATTCAACTTGAGCTTCTATGATCGCGTTGAAAAAATATATTTAAAAGCATCAATGATCATGTAATTGAATTTTCGATGCATAAATGACTAATGCAGTGGTGAAGTATGAAATACCAATGTATAATATGTAAATAGATCGCGGTTTTCCGTCGATATGTCATTGCGCCAAGGGGGCAAAGTGATATACTTTTTTTATAGACAATGTGAAGGGCTAATATTTGATATATCATCGCTTGACCCAAAACTGAACAAACGCAATGATCGAGAAAGTAATATAAAATAGCGGAACATTAAGAGTCTACTGATGAATCAATTTATCTTCGACATGCATATTCTCATATATGTAAACTGACATCATATATGCAAACATATTTATATGTCAGAGTACCCAATGTTATAGAACAGGATGGTCTTTTTTATTTTTTTTAAAATGAATAATACAAAAGCCTTAACCGTGTTGCTTTTTAATATACAGGGTGATTGAAAAGTAACTCCCTATTTTAAAATAAATACAATTTATTCAAATGCTATATCATGTTTCATGTTTCTAAATTTATGTGTATATATTACTTAATATATGGCAATTTAATTTATGTTCTTGTTTTCCTTTCAGATTTGTTTAAATATTGTTCAATTTCAATCTTTTCAAATTTATTTTATTTCAAAACCCTACAAAAATGGCTGGACGTCTTACTCTACAGGAACGTGCCCAGATAGCCGCGCGTTATGAAGTTTGGGGATGCATTGTTCAAGTGCAAAGATGGTGGAGAACTATTAAGGGAAAACATGCCCAAATTGACCCGAAGACGATCAAGAATTGTCATAAAAAACTTATGACCACAGGATCTGTGGCTGATACTCAAAGAAGCGGTCGTCCTTCCAAATCCAGATAAGTCAATTCGTCAAGCAACAAGAGAAAGTGGGCTCTCCTTTCATTGTGTACGTAATGTGCTAAAAAACGAGCTTAAATGGCGTGCTTGGAAGCCGCATTACTGTCAAGCACTCTCTGCAGAAGACTTTGACATTCGTATGGAGTTTGGTGAAATAATGTTGGCTTGGTTTAGAGATTGGCCCAACCTTTTTAAAAATATTCTATGGAGTGATGAAGCTGTATTCCACATAGGTGGATTTGTGAACCGTCATAACTGCCACTACTGGGCGGAAGAAGTTCCTCGTGTTACCTGTGAAAAAATGCAAAATCGATCCAAAGTAACGGTATGGTGTGGAATTACTTTTGATAGGATTGTGGGTCCCTTCATTCTTCGCGATACCATGAATGCCGAAAGGTACCTCGCTATGTTGAAAGATGAAATTTGGCCAATTATCAGTGCTTGGGAAAATATTGAAGATTTGATTTTCATGCAAGATGGAGCTCCTCCACACTTTGCTATTGTTGTTCGTGAATGGCTAAATGCTCAATTTCCTGGAAGATGGATGGGTCGTCGCGGTTCGCACGAATGGCCTGCCAGAAGTCCTGACTTAACACCCTGCGACTTTTTTCTCTGGGGTTGGCTGAAAGAGGAAGTCTACTCAACCAAACCAAGAAATTTGGAAGAACTTGAGGGGCGAATACGTGAAGTTATGACTTCCATCCCGCAAGAGTTTCTTGCGAAATCAGTTGATGCGATTCCTGGTCGACTTGAGAAGCTGGTGGCAAATAAAGGCGCCCATATTGAATTTTAAATAAAAGCCCATGCATTATACTTCCTTCTCATATTCATTAATTGTAGAAATTATATTTTAAAAATAAACTATAGTTTTTTTTAAAATAGGGAGTTACCTTTCAATCACCCTGGTTGCCTTTAGTATAAAAGAGGTGTAACGTAATAGTTTTCGAGTGAAATCAACCGCATTTATATACTACAACTGTAAAATATATCAGTGTATTATTCGTGTAAAAAAGGCTTTTATTCCTCAAAACATCAATCTTATCTCACCATAACAAGACAAACAATAACAACAGAAACAACGACGACCTCTAGAATTCAACACATTGATCGATCGGCACAGATCCGACTAAGCTGTGGAGTGTACAGGAATGAATGAATCTACGGAGAATAAAATTTAGAATAATAAATAGTTGCAGGATGTATGCTATACTCAACAATGTAAATTGAGCTGTATTCAAATATTTGGCAATGTACTGCATAATGAAATGCTGTTTGGAATCTAAATTTAGATTTAGATTGTATAAACCAAATAGACATTCATTTAAATATTGAGTCACTATTTATTTTTCTCTGCTACGCTAGGTTCATAGGAATTACCAATGCAATAGTTGACTTTTGAATATTGCGTCATATCATTTGTCACTTTCTCTCATATTATACTGTTATTGTAAACCAGTGATATTGCTTCCCACTTCCTATGTATATCTGATTGAGCTTGTTGGAGATATAAAGTAGTAGTTTAAATTGAATGGCGTAGTTCACCATATATATTACCTGGTCCACCTACATATTTTCCTTATTAACCATGAAACTTTTTCATAATATTTATCGTGTCTGCTGTTATATTGTTTTATTATATGTGGTTTCGGTATAAGTGTAGGTGACGAATGTGAATTTGCCTCAATTTTTTCGTGTAGAGCTGACTTATTCTTCTGATTCTCTTCTAATTCTCTATAAAATGGTTATCGGCACCATGTCTTCGTGTATTTGAGAAGCAGAACGTTCCATAAAGCTACAATATGGAGATGGAATGTTATGCAAATGTTGAAAATATATATGAAACCGGTCAGACTACTTCGAGACCACCTTCAATTCCAAAACAAGGTTTGTGTTTCGTTTTGTTAACTTAAATTCTAATTTGTAATATAATGAGAGAAAACGAAAAATAGGATACAAGGGTAAACAGGCATGGTTAAACTTTTTCGGCTGTTGACTATTCGAATGTCATGTTCCATATGAACTAAGGTATGCCGTGACAAATTGTAATTGCCCTATTTTTACGTATATTAAAAAAAGAGTAATTTTTTTACCTCATTAAATATATTTTTTTAAAAGCCTTTTGTCCACGTTTCTTTTCACAGACAACAATAAAGCTACAAACAAGAAAACTATCTTTGTTGTCGCAGTATCTTTTGGAATATGCTTCATTGTGTCTGCTGCTGTTTTTGTCCTCCTGATTATGCAAGTTAGTTAGTACTGGGAATTTAATTAAGCCTTATGATTTATATTTTAAAATCAAATAAAAATATGCCTATTGTACAAAAGTTTGTTTGTTTTCTACTTCAGTAATAGTCGCTTCATTTGAAATAGTCAAATTTATTTTAAGCTCCAGAACAAGATGGAACATATAACAGAAAAATTGGACAAAATGAGTGAGATTGATTCATCTCTCGCCAGCAATATAAACGACACCCACAAACGTATGATATATATATATTTCAGTCGAAACATGCCAATTGTATATTAAAATAAATTATTTTTTTTAATTCAAGAACAAGTGGAAACTTTTGAACAATTGACAACGCAGTTCAATTCGTCCCTCGCAAAAATTTCGAATGAAACACAAAAAGTAAGTTTATATTATTAGTATGTTAATAAATATGCATCGCTTTTGAAAATATTGAAAACGATATTGAAAAACGTAATTTATTTTCCGCATGCATTACTTGTATTTTAGGTTGTCAAAAACTTGCATATTCTGGGGACTGTTTAAGTTTAGTTCCGAAATTTTTTTGTTAACGTCTTCAACGCTCTCTCAATGTTATTTTTTGTTCATAGCCTACAAATTCTTGCTACGTAATTTAGTCTATCCCTTCCCGATGGTTTCTAATATTCTGTTGCTGCATCCATTTTCTGCAACCTAATTCGTGAAGATTGATAGCTAAATTATTGGAGACTAATTTTTGTCCCCATAAGGGCACCAAGAAAGTTAGGTAGAGCAGAGCCTTTAAAAAGATAAGGATTGTCAAATTTTTTTATTGAAGTTGGATCAACCGCTGTGTGTCTTGTATGCCAAAAAAGCGTTGCTGTTTAAAAATAATACAAAATTAATTCAAATCTTGGTGCGTGAGATCAAAAATGTGATTAGTCACTTGATTTTATGATTTCTAAAAAATTTCCAGCTTCTTCAAGTATAAAAGATGAGTTGAGAAAAATTAAGAATGAAGTGAGACATCTTGACTCCAAAATACTCACTGGAGATAACGAATTGGTGAGGTTAAGCAACAGGGACCAAATAAGCGCCTATAATTCTTTTTTCATCAATTCCAAATGTATATGAATAATATTTTTGTAATATAAATTTAAATAAAAAGAAAATATTGTTGTTTATGTTGCATCTTGTTATACGGTAACAGGTACACCAACAATATTTTAGGTTTATTTTTAACTTAGTTTGATTCACAGAAAGCAAACTTGACTGAAGCAAATTTGAGGATGAACAAAATGTTTTCGATATCCGGATGGTTCAGAGCAAGCAATAATCTCATTTACAAACGTTTCACTGATTCTGTCAACTACGCAACTGCAAAGGCTCAATGTGAAGGAATGGGAGCTCGTTTGGTTTCGACTGGAATTAGGAACAACAAAGTGAAAAGGTAGGTTAGTAATCTGTGTTAGATAAGTTGAAACTCATTTGTCGTGTAGTTTTATTTAAATTTATAGGTTATTATAGTACAAAATAAATATATTTTCAGATGTTGTTGTTATCGTCGTAAAAGCCACTAGTATTTACCAGAAACTCATTTTCTAAATTTGTTCACAACCTTTTTGAAATGTGGTAGCTCGTTGTCTTGCTACAAATTTTGCACACATTGAAACGAAACAGAGTGAGTATCCACTTATTAACTTTGGCGAGATAAAGAAACGCTTACGTTGACACAAGTCGAAATTAATCATTCATAAACTAAAGATAAAACGTACCAATCAATTTTAACCTTTTTCGCTTCTACATGTCAACTGTAATATACAAACAGAATTTGAATACAAAAATTGCTCTAATTGTCAGTAATTAACAATTCTGCACCTTCTTAGTGAAATATTCCCGAAACATTACCTAACCGGAGCGTTTGCATGGATAGGATTGGACGACATCAGCAAGGAAGGAAGTTGGGTTTGGTCGGACGGAGTAAATATATCGCCAAGCAAGATATGGGCACCGGGGGAACCAACCGGAGGCTTGAACGAAGACTGCGCACATATGATATTATTGAATTCCAAACTTGATGTTTACGATGGTGGCTGTACTGGTCCCCATCGATTTGTTTGCGAAAGTGACTCTGCATGATTTTGCTATTCTAAGATATTGTTTGATTTAATTTTAAGATATTGTTCAATATTGCTATTCAAATTATTGTCTGTTTAAAATACGGGAAACTTAACGCAAAAAAATTGGATGTGAATTTTGGTTTAATTTCCCTAATGCTTTTTCTATTTTTTATTTATTTTATATTTGTTTTTAAAATCTCTTCATTTCCGATTTTGTGACCATTTTATCTTACTTTCATTCTTTTCAATATCGATAGTAAAAATCCAAATTTTTCATTGCATTCTGGAAGAATTTAGTTTTAGTACAGTGCAACTATGAGTGAAATGAACCTTCAACCTATTTTTCTGAAGTATCTCGTATGTTTTAACATTCTAGAAAATATTTCAATATTGACAAATGGTTATAAAATTTTGATCCTGATAATCATAAATGATTGTCTGTATATTAGCATGCACTTTCAACTTGCATTTAGGTGCCAAATGCGCTTCAAAAAGTGGCGGACGAACCTGAGATTTCTACAATGCTACTTGAATATCCAATTTATCAAATAAAGAGATATTTTATTATCATTGCTATAAAATTTATTTTCGAGAATGTAAATCACGGGTAATTTAACAATTTATCAGTTGGAAATTTTTGATCAGAGATTAAGGAAACTATGATAAATTACATTGAAGATATGTTTACTTCAAAGACTTAATATATAAGATCCAACCCCAGGTTAGGTGCTGAAACAAATGTTTAAGGTCACTGATACACAATTGGCGCGTTTTAATTGGAATTGCAATAGGTTGAGTTTTCGAGTGACATGTTTATTTTTTACAAGCGATGCATCGTTTAAAGTTGGTTGCGTTTTTGAGTGACATGTTTATTTTTATTTTTTACAAGCGATACGTCGTTTGAAGTTGAACAATTATTAAGAAAAGTTCTTATTGTTTGAAATTTATGAAAAGAAGGAATTAAATTTCGTTGTTGTAGCATTTCTATTTTTTCGATTTGTTCTTAAATTGAGAAAACATTAATTGGTATTAATCTGCAATTTATAGAATTTGATTTGGATGTCTTTTTTGCAAGCATTGCTCAGTTTAATTTACTTCATTGTTTCATTTAAAATCTTTGCAAAACGAAAATATAATTCTGTTGTCAGTTTCTCAATGATTTTAACAAAAAAAAAAAAAAAAAAAGTGTGAATGTTATATCACACGATTGATTTTTCCACAATTTTTATCGTCGTTTATAATGCTGGCAAGAGCTGATTTAATATTTTTTACTTTTCCCAGTTTTTCTCTCATAAGTTTTATCTCGTTCTGAAACCTAAAAAAATTATGAAAATTGCAAATACCGTAAATGAATAACAATAATTGAAAACAAACAGCCTCTTATATCATATAAAAGATTGGGCAATATTGTGCATAAGGTTAATTTATTCGCAGAAAAGATAAATATATAAAATAAACGATATTAATACTAACTTTTATAATCAGAATAAATGCAGGTACAGACACTAAGAGGCAGATTTTCATTGATATCGCGAGAACAAACAAAGTTTTCGCGTTTAGCTTTATTTGTTGTCTATGAAAAGAGAATATTTGTAAGACGTCAATAAACATGTCGTATAAGAGAATACATAGAATATTACTCGTGTCATACTTGGCGTGCATGAAGTATTTCAATTTTTTTGGGGTTTTGCTCAAAAATTACTCAAAAAAATATGAATTTTTTTGGGGGTGAGGCGGAGCCTAAATGCATGGTCGTACTGGCTAGAAATCTTACTCAAGTAAAACAGGTGGTTTTAGCTGGCGAACCAAAGCAGTTGAGACCTGTTATCATGTCTGCTGCTGCTTGGGAATACGAGCTTGGAAATTCATACCTTGAACGACTCATGGAATCATAATCCATATTTTTACCCGAACAGAAGTCTTACCACTTTGATTTCTTTTTAAATACAATGTGGGACAAATGCTGTGTTCCCATTTGTGTTTACATGTCATATCTAGATTTTCCTTTGCAATTTATCAAATGAAATTTTGCGTAAATCAAAGAAATCACAAACTTTGTTTAGGAATCGTATATATCCTAAAGCAGTCTGAGTGGTTTCATATCTATTTTGACTTTGACAGTGGTTTCATTCTGTTTTGATTTTGAAAATTTGCATGAGATTCCATCTCAATAGTAAAGCTTTATAAAATGTCCTGCTCCTCAAATGCGAAGTCTTGGTGCCAATAACCGTTTTATAGATACTTAGCAGCTAACATTAAATAATCAGCTAACAGTTCACGTCGTATTATATTTCTCAACGTAATATTCCGTTTTAATATTATCAGTGGGTGGCAAAACCCTAAGGGCAAAAAAGAATATTTGCCCTTGGTTATATAGCCATGCAAATGTCAACTTACACCATCTATTTTTAATTTATACCTTTAGATGAATTCTCTCTCGATTATGTAAATACCAGATAAATAACACAACATCGAAGGTGGGCCTGAAAAGAACAGAACCAGTGACAGAATATGTGACGTATTATTTCCTTAATGTTTAAATGAATACGGGTTTTAAAATAACATTGCCTTATTAATTTTGTGATTACAACTACGAATGCATAGCGGTTTAACATATATTTTTCACATCATATTTTTATGATTATTTTATGCAATCATTATTAAAGACTGTATGTGGGTTGACAATGTGACGCACTTGTTATGCGAACCTCGATTGCTTCAATATACGCCAATCACCGTTCAATCACGTCGGTCATATTTTGGTCACTTCTTCTACTAGAGTCAGAGCAAGCAAATAATGAATATTTTTCATTCTATTCTCTCCATGAGTGGTATACTGCTATACTATACTATACTTTTGATTTACATGGGTATTTAGGATCATCGAACCTATTGAAATAACCTCAAGATCCATTGCTATTTAGATCAATACAATATCGTAGGCAAGTTGAAAATATGAAAAACTACTCGACGATTTCCCTTTTACGACTTTGTGAGAGAGAGTCTATTACTCCTACACTCCAGTTCATGGTATTTCTATAAAATATATTAGTAGGCCTGTAAACTGCCTGTAGTCGGTAAAACACAGGTTTGTCTATGGGACCTGTTTTTATGTCTCATTCCCATCCCATCCCATGGGATTCCCATTGGAATACAATTCAAAAAAAATTGTTGAATTTAGTTTTAGCGTCTACTAAGTAGAACTACATGTACGAAGAGACATGCAAAACAACAAAAATTACGGTCTTTTTAACTTTATATTCATAACTATTATACATGTGTCCATCAGCCCCTTTCACGAAGTATATTGTTAATACCCAATATATTCTGCTCTTTTTACCTAACAAGAGAGCTATGCTCCAATATTAAGACACGAAGTTTATAACGAAATGTTTTACCTTCATTTCCATGAAATTCATACGGTTTTCGTGTCCCACGTGTTCCATGGAAAATACAAATGTGTGCTGTCCCATCCCATCCCATGGGAATCCCATTCCCATGGACAAATCTGGTAAAACATGTTGTTATAAACTATAACAAATACAATCTTTCAAAATTTTAAGCTCAAAAAATTATGCTTGTGTTGTGGCGAAATTATACTTAAATTATGAATACATTACTATCACACTATGTTCTTTATGACATAATCATTAATTAAGTTGTAAAATATCATATTCCACGGACATTTTATTTACATGGAAGTACTGCTTTGATATAATTTATTTGAAGGAAAAGACAAAATGAAAATAATTAAAGATATCAAACTGTTTGCCACTTCGTCTGAAAACATCGGGAATGGGTATATCAAGAATTGATAACTAATTATTAATTTGAATTAACAGTCGGAGTTGTATAGGACTAAATAGCAATCTGGCAGAAGTTAATTTTAATAATCTTAAATAACTTGGTAGCTCGGAAATTTTCAATGATCTTACTAGCAGGAGAGTGAAATTCAAAAAATATTTTCTTGCTGTGACCTAACCAATATGATTGACGTGTATTGAAGTAATTAGGTTCTTCAAATCAAGTACGTCACGTAGTAAATTCGTACAGGTCTAAATATAGATATATTTTAATGTTAGATATAAATTTGAAAAAATATTCTATAACTATTTATACTATGATATTCTTAAGGCAAGCATTTCGAGTATCAAGGAAGTAATGTGTCACATATTCGGTGACTAGTTTTTATGGATTACGCAAAATAGTTGTTTCGTCTCCCATTCACTTTTGACGCATTGATAACATGGATTTACAGAATCATTAATGTACCTTAAGCTATAATTCAAAACAGTCAAAGGTTTCAGTTAGTCTGACATAGGCACAACCAAATAAATAAGACTATATATTGTTCCAAGTCATTATTATGGTTTTGTCTCCCACTGATAATAGCACCAAATCACTCAGTCAATCCGTATAGGTCTAAATGTAAATATATTATGATGCGGAATATAATGTAAGAAATCCGATTTTTTCTCATTTTTATCATGATATTATTGAAGCAAGCATTGGCCATTTAAAACATGTGTTAGCTTTAGTATCAAGAATGTAATGTGTCACATATTCGGTAACTAGTTTTCATGGCTTATCGCAAAATAGTTGTTTCGTCTCCCACCTTTGACGCATTTGATAATATGGTTGCACAGAATTGTTATTGTACCTTGAGCCATAATTCAAAAGCAATTAAAGGTTGCAGGTAGTTGGACATATGCACGGCCATACAACAAAGAAAAAATATTGTACAATGTCATTATAATGGTTTCGTCTCCCACTGATAATAAAACCAAATACCATTCAGTCGCGTGATTCGTCTTAATGTTTCTGTGTTCAGCTGACTAATTCTAATGAGATGTTGTACCCCTATAAAATGGTTATCGGAAGCAAGACTTCGATCAGTTAGGAAGCAGATCACACCATATAGCGTTGACATGGAGATGGAATATTATGCGAATGGTCAAAGTGAAAATACATATGAAATCCCTCAGAATGCTTCAGAGCCAGCTGTGGTTCCTAAACAAAGTTTGTGTTTTATTCAATTAACTTAACCTCTATTTTATAATATACCAATAGAAAAAGAAAAATAGGCAAGGGCATACAGGCTTTGTGAAACTTTTTCGACTGTTGGGCCATAATTTTATTCCAATTTGCCCTATTTCATTTCTATTACGAGTTCGGGTACTAGTAGAGTAACTCTCGTAGTATTTGTACCTGAAATTAAAGCCTAACGCTAACCTGGTGCACATACTACGTTCCGGTGCCCGCCATCTTTTTTCACATATTTCGGGAATATCATTTTTTTACCTCATGACATCTCTTTTTTTGAAATTCGTTTTTATCCACGTTTTCTTTTTCACAGACAACAATAACACTACGAACAAGAAAACTGTATTTGTTGTCGCGATATCTTTTGGAATATGCTTTATTGTGTCTGTTGCTGCACTTATCCTGATTATGCAAGTTAGTTAGTACTGAGAATTAAATCGAGCCTATATTTTATAAAATAAAATAAAAATATGCGTATTGTACGAAATTTTTTTTTGCTTTATATATTTGTGGTAATCCAGTTTATTTGGAATATTCAAATTTATTTCAAGTTCCAGAACGAGATGAAACATATGAGAGAAAAATTGGACAAAATGAGTAAGATTGATTCATCTCTCGTCAGCAATATAAGCGACACTCAAAAGCGTAAGATATTTTGACCTCAAGCAAAACATGCAATTGTATATTAGTATATTAGCAGTAATTAGTTTTTTTTTCAATTTAAGAACAAATGGAAACGTTTGAAAAATTGACAACACAGTTCAATTATTCCCTTGCGAAGATTTCGAATGAAACACAAAAGAGTAAGTTTATATTATTAATATGTTAATAACTAGGCATCGCATTTCAATAGCTTAGAAACGACACTCAAAACGCAAGTTATTTTTGATTTCTATGGAAATTTGCTAATGGTAGATCAATGAAGTTTCACATTTGTTTAATAACTTGAGATAGTCGAGAAGTTTGAAAAACTTAGCTACGCTTTTAAATTCCTTCCTTACAAAAATTTCCAAGAAAACACTACAAAAAGAGTAAGTTCATATTTTAGATATTTAAACTGCGCATCAAGTTTTTGCTTTATCATATTCAACATACCGCAGTTTATCGAAGTAAAAACCATACATAATATTTAAAAACGTTAAAAATCATAAAGTAGGCTGCTAACCTGACTTCTTTAACGCCTTATAATCAAAGTAAGTTATATAAATGTCACTAGATCCGAAAATGTGATTTGTTGCCTAATTTAATGTTTTGAATAAACTTTCAGCTTCTTCAAGTATCAAAAAAGAGTTGGAAAATATGAAGAATGAAGTGAGCCAACTTGACTCCAAAATATTGATTGGAGATAACAAGCTGGTAGGTTTAAGTAACAGGGTTCATATAGATTATGAATATGAATATTATTTTTGAACAATAAGGATAAAAACAGTAAATATTGTTGTTTATGTTTCATCTAGTTATACAGTAACATGGAAACTTGCAAAAAATTAATTTTATTTCAAACTTTGTTTGCTTTACAGAAAGCAAACTTGACTGATACAACATCAAGGATGAACAAAATGTTCTCGATATCCGGGTGGTTCAGAGCAAGCAACAATCTCATTTACAAACGTTTCACCGATTCTGTCAACTATGCAACTGCAAAGGCTCAATGCGAAGGTATGGGAGCTCGTTTGGTATCGACTGGAATGAGAAACAACCAAGTGAAAAAGTAAGTTATCGGATTATGTGAGACGTCAACATAGTGTGAAACAATTATTCGAATTTTTTGGTCATTGATTTTTGGCTCGATTTTCACCCTCTCTGGATGACGCAAGTTGAGGTTTCCTATAAACTGTTATTTTTAAGCCTGATTGATCTAAAAGGGGAAATTAATTTATAAAAAAAAATAATCGGTACGGTAATTTTATTACAAAATATGTCTAACGATCCGTAATAATTTATTTTCAACCAGTGAAATATTTCCGAAATATTACTTAAACGGAGCGCATGCTTGGATAGGATTGGACGACATCAGTAATGAAGGAATTTGGGTTTGGTCAGATGGCGTAAATGGATCGCCAAGTGCAATATGGGCCCCGGGGGAACCGAACGGCGGTAGAACCGAAAACTGCGTTGAATTACTGTATATTTCAGAGATTCTTGCTAATGACGTTCAGTGTACTCTTTTCCGTCGCTTTGTTTGCGAAAAGGAATTTGAATAATGTTTGATTGTTTTTTATTGGAATTTCGTTGAACGAAAGTTTGCTTGATTTATTTTCAATTATTGTTTAATACTGATATGTGATTTATTGTCTCTTTGAAAATAAAGTAAAGTGAAGGCATTGAAATCATGTGAAGTTTTTTACTTTATGAATGTTTACTTAATTATATTGTCGATTTAGAATTGTTACGCGAAAATAATTACCATGGAATCATTCTTTTGTGATTTTTTATGAGAGACAGGCAAAATTGCTATCACATGTTGAAAGCTTCAAATGAATTATTAAAAGATTTTTAACTTTCTTAGGAAGATTTTAAATCTTGAATAAACAATCGCCCAGACAATTTATTCAATAATGCTTTTGACAATTGATGCTTGTAACATACGTCATCATGATGTTCAGATAAGATTTTGTTCAGATTTCCAAAACCCTATTGTTTTGAATTGAGCTCCATGAAAACATTTATTTGTGCATCACACGCGTTTCAATGATTGAAGTCAAATCTGAAGTTTTTACAATGCTACCAGAAAAAACAACTTACAAATTCTTATTACTTTTTTGTTTACTGCAATTGCTGATATCTGTTTTTAGCTTGACAAGCTTTGGAAAAAAAATATTTGGTAGTTTTAGTTTTTCAACTTTTCAATGTCTTTTCAACAGAACAAATAAAAGCTCAAGTTAGATAAATGAGATTTAAGATTATTCCCATCTAAGATCATGCTGGTCCATGCATGGGAAATTTGAAATTTCTGCGCGGAAAAGTAAAAGTTAAATTTAAAATCAATATATTTCGAGTTTGACCTACGCGTTCAGAAAAAATATTTGCTAATATATTACAATAATGTACCAAACTTATGGATGCACATAGACTTGCCTATTTTACACATTCCGATGCAAATTTTGTAAACTCAAAGGATTTGATAATGTATGTGTAGTTACAATGTAATATATCCACAAAGATTGTATAATGAAATTTTCGATGTGTTTTTTTATGACACCAATGTGTATATTCTGTTAATCGTTGGCTTTTCCCCACCGAACTGTCATTGAGCCAAGGCGGCAAGCTGTCGGTGTTTTTAATATTGTGATAAATTTGCTACAAATAAAAGTTTATCAGTTTGTGATAACACCTTTTTCATTCAGTGAAATATTTCCGATACATTCTCTAACCGTAGCTAGTGCAAGGATAGGATTGAATGACGTTAGCAATGAAGGAATTACAGTAAGGTCAGATGGGGTAAATAAATCGCAAGCGCTATTTGGGAATCGGCTGAACCGAACGGCCGCAAAAGCAAAAAATGCGAAATCTGATGATATAATTCAAAACATAGTGCAATACATTTTTTCAAAGTAAAAATAAAAGCCTGAGTTATATAAATGATTTAAGATCGTTCTCAACTGAATTCCAAACCGGTCCCAGTTTTGGGAAATTTAAATCTCCGAGCGGGAGAGTAAAATATTGAATTCGGTAAATATATTTTGACTTAAGTGTTGTGAAAAACTGTTTAGTTTAATTAATCATTTTTTTGCACCGATATATTAAGATGCTGTTACGAACTCACTAATGTACACAGACCTACCTATTTTGAACAATGGAATAATAAAAGTACCGTAAACCTTAGCTCATGACTCTTTTATTTGTTTCGATTTAGGTTTTTAATTTTATCTTAATATTTTCATTCCTGTAGCGTTTTGACTCTGGAATAAGACACACATAATACGCAGTTAAAAGATTTTTTATAGATTTCAAATGTTTTGATTTTTTTATTGGTAAAAGTTAGAAAATATTGTTGATGCTTTTAATTCACGGTGTTCCACAAAGCCTATCATTCGGAATTCAAAAAGGATTTTTTTTATCAGATATGTTTTAATTTCCTGGGGAGGGTTACGTTTTATAGCCTCTCGTTAGGATGTAACGATCATTAATTTAATATCTTTAGCTTATGCCATTTCGTGTGAAATTATTCAACAAAATAAAATTTAAAAAACTACCACCGAAGTAAGTAAGATCATTAAGAAACCCTAGCTCATCTTGGCTCAATGAGATTTTGTCGCAAAAACAAGTAAATTGTAAATTGAAAATGTAAATTGAAACGGAAAAAACTTATCAAACAAAAGCTTCAATCTTTCTGACGTTTATAAAATTTTCATCATAATACCAACTTAGTGTTTTGTTTTCATTTTTAAGTAAAAATTATGAAATTTTAACAGCCGTATAATCTATTAAAAATCAATTTATGTATTTATATATAATATATTTAACAGAAATATTTTTCAAAGCGTTTCAAAAGGGAAAAATATGTAGTTAATTGCAGAGAACTATAATACAATAGTATATACATATAAACAATTTATAGGTTTATTCTAGTAGCATTGTCAAGCAGACTCTAATTCAAAGCTTTCCGGGAAATTCAATGTGTAATTACTTAGGTATGTTGATAGGTATTTGTCTGTTTTTTTGTTCGTCTGTTAGACACTTTCGTATGTTATGCGATATCTCGCGAGGTTGAATATGATCCAAAGTTTGCATGTGCATTCATCATATCTCGGACCAGCAGCCTATTGAATATGGATTCATTATGTCGTATAATTAGCGAGTTACTAATTAATTAGTGATGAAACACGCGGTGTCGCTATTGAGTCAGAGCGAAGGAATCGAAACCGCAGTTCTGTTTTGGGGGATTCCCTAACATTTGTCGCTGCGAACGATTGTGTGCGTAGCAATGCCCTGTCTGTGATGTGGAGCGTTTAGGTATTTTGTGATCAGTATTCTTATCCTACGTAAAAATAGGGCAATTGAAATTTGGTGCTGTAAAATAGCTGATTTCATATGAAAAATATCTGATAATTGCATTTTTAATAGCCGGAGAAGTATCACCATGCCTGTTTAACCCTTGTAGTCTATTTTTTATTTTCTCTTTTAATATTACAAATTAGAAATTAATTATATCAAATAAAACACAATCCTCGTTAATGAACTGCAGGTGGCCTTGAAACAATATGAGGGATTTCATATGTAATCCATATCATCAAAGAAACAAAAGTGAGAGATGAAACAGATGATAGTCAAGCCAATAAATGTTTTTAAACGGACAATGCTTGTCTTCCGTTTACCATGATACGAATAAAAATATCATAGCTTTTAATTTATATTGTTCATAAAATATGTTTACATCTAGACCAGGGGTTCTCAACCTGGGGTTCGCGAACCCCCAGAGGTTCACGAGAAGGTTTCCAGGGGTACTTGGATGACAGTCGAGCCTTATCCTCTATTACTAGCAGAGGAAAATGCGTGCCCATTGAAACTAAACGCCAATTGAAACGTAGATTTTCCCTGATCTTGCGTTGTTGTGATTGTGACGCAACAACGTAAAATTCAAGTCTGCGTTCAAACTGTGAAATCTCTAAAGACAGCGTGCTGCGAGCATTGGAAAAGTGATTACGCTTATTGAAACTTGGGGGAGATTTTGAGATTTCATTAGTTAGGCAGACGATAAGAGTAATAATATCAACAAGACGATTTAATTTAGTTAGATATGGTCAATGAATTGGTGTTGCAATAAATTGTTAGTCAATATATTACAATTTTGTTCGGTGTCTGATTACTGGGGGTTCGCATTGATTGTTTCGTGACTCGAGGGGGAACTTAACAGAAAAAAGGTTGAGAACCCCTGATTCTAGACTATGTGGATTGACAATGCGACGGACTTGATATGAAAATCTTTTATTGATATACTATACGTCGATCATATTTCAATCATATTGATTAGGAAATATTTCGTATTTCATGCTCCGGCTAGTAAAATTATTAAATATTTCTGAGCCACTAAGTTATTTAGGATTAACAAAATTATTGAAATCATCTTCTACCAGATTGCTATTTAGCTCTACAGAGCCTCGACTGAAACCTCAAATAAATAATTGGTTTGCAATGCTCAATAAAACAATTCCGATGTTTTGCGACGAGGTGGCAAAAAATGTGATTTTTTAAATGTTATCATTACTGCTTTTCCTTCAAATAAATTTCATCAAAGCCGGACTTCCATGTCCGTAGCATATGTTTTTTTACAACCTACTTAATGATTATATCATAAAGATTATAGTGGGATAGTAATATATGTAAAATATAAGTATGATTTAGCCTCAACACAGGCGGTTTTGGGCTCTCGATAGATTGTATTTTATTATAGTTCATTAACAACATTCACAGGATCGACAATATACTTCGATATAAGTACATGAATTGGAGTGTCCCAGTAAAAGACAATTCTCATGCATAACATTAAAAGCATCAATTAATTTTGTTTGAGTAATTTTTAACATATCGGAGGTGCATACAAGATTGTAATTTTCCAAATAGTAATAGATCTGGAGATTAATTTAATAATTTTGATTTAATGAGTCATGAATAACCGAATAAGATAAAACGTTTAACACATGATACGAAATTAGAAATATTCATTAATTGCTTGTAGCGACCCAAACCTGACCGGTGTGATGAAACTGT